TTCCATTGTAAACGGATTTTTCGTTTCCATTTTTCTTATGGACTTAGCCATTTTTTCTCCTATAAACTTAATTCAGCACCTTCTATTTTTAACTGGCTATTAGTCAGGGGTGATAACTCAAAAAAATTAAAAATGGACTCTGCCGTTTTTTCCCTTGAGGTCTTCACATATTACATTGATAGGTAAGTTGGCAATCCTCCGAAGTCCGGTCCCAAATTATTTTGTATGAAAAAAATTGCAATCCACAGTGTCTATAGTCTATTGTTAGAAAACAGCAGAAATGTCAGTCATAGCTTTTGCAAATAACTGTCACTTTACAAACCAGTCAGTAAATACTAAATGTTGTCATTGGCGCATAGCATTTGCAAATAGCAGCCGAAAATGTTCTGCTTGTGACTGTTGCGCCACTGAAGGCTCCAAGTACCTGGCAAACAGACCGCGACTAGCACCACTCTGATAGCGGAGTTAACACTTCGCTTGCATCCAAAGTCCTTCCATAATTTATGTGTGAATGTCCTGGTCCACTGGATCAACAAATTCACATGCGTGCACAATGACAGCGTGAGCATAAATCCCGTTGTTGAGCTGAGCGACATTTTGAAATCCTCGCCAAGCGTCCGTGACGATAGTTGTCCCTGGTAACACATGATTAGTGATAATGCCTTCGAGTGTTTGTGCATCTCGACGGCCGACAACCTCCATCCAACATCGTCAACTAACGCAAACATGAATTTCAAAACAGAATGATTCCCAAGACTTTTAAGTAAGGAGTAATCATTGGAAATAATTTGGGATCCGACTTCGGAGGATTGCCGATAAGTTATATTATAATTTATTCATAATTTCATAATATCAAAATGAATTTTAAATTTAGAAATTACCGGTACAGTATAATTTAAGTATAATAATAGTATAGTATAGTAGAGCATTAATGATTAATCCTGAAATTTAAAAAAACTATCAAATGTTGTAAACAAATTGTATCATTAAATTATTTTTATCATTAAAACAAAAAGAGTTATTACCATCACAAAACATGGTGAATTGGAGATGCTTTTCATAGTTGCCATGTCCATACTATCATAGCCTTTATTCATTATTATAATTTACCATAAATAGTGTAATAAATACTAAAAAAAAAAAAAAAAAAAAACATTTTTAAATGAATGGCAAAACATAAAATAAAAAAAAAAAAAACAAAAAAAAGTAAAAAAAAAAAAAAAAAAAAAAAAAAAAAATCACTTTTAAATGCATGGCATAGCTGTAGCTAAAAAAAAAAAAAACTAAAAAGTACTAAAAGCTAGAAAGTTGAGTCTGGTTTCATTATTTTGGTAAACTGAAGTTTGCTCTATACAACCTATATAATTGTTTTGAATTTTGTTACCCAAGCCTAACTGCAATCGATAATAATATTTCTCAAGTAAAATCAAATAATTTGACTTTGAAATACTAATACCTTTTCAGCCTTTTCACTTTTCAGTTTCACCAGCCATTGTGAGTTCATTGACTTTGAGTGACTTTTCAGTCTTCAGTTGTTTTTTTATAAGTTCTTTTATCTTTATTATACTTCAGTTGCTTCAGCCATGATTGTCGCTAGACTCTAGCAAATTTAAGTAGCTCATGTTAAACGGGGATACTCTTCGTTCCATTTAGATCGTAGACTGGACATGGACGCGATTTGAAACGACATGACAATGCAAAGCGTGGTAAAACTGGATCCGGCACCCGATCCCAGCATTTTGTCGTCAGCTGACTATCATCATTGAATCAAAACTGCAACCTCATTCTTCGATTCAAAAAAAAAAAAAGGCTGACTAGACCTACTTCGACTAAATTATTTTAATTTTTATTCTTTTTCCTGAGATAGCCACTATATTGCCATTTTTAAGTCATTAATTCTGAATAAAGCGCCATTCAAATAAATTGTAGCTAACTAAACTTTTTTTTTCCAATGGGGACCGGAAGTTACTTTAAATAAACGTGATATGACAATGTATGCACATAAAAATGTGCAACCTCAATTTAAATGCGTGATTTTAAGCTTTACAATTATTTTCATATTTTTAAATTGATCCTACATCTGTTTGTTTACTTAAATTAAATTTTTAAAAACTCATAAACTTGATTCAGCGATACAACAGATGTGTTTAAAGTCACCCCACCTCCCCCCCCCCCCCATTTTATATTTTTAAATTTAACCTACATCTTTTTGTTTACTTAAATTAAAATTTTAAAAACTCATAAACTTGATTCAGCGATACAACAGATGTGTTTAAAGTCACCCCTCCCCCCCCCCCCCAATTAAAGCTCAAAAATTATAAAATAAAACTTTTATAATTTGTAAACCATGTAAAAAATATAAGTAAATCTTAAATTTCCATATTCAAAATTCAATAAATAGTAGAAGCAAGGAAATAGTTACAACGTTGATTTATTTTATATTCCGAGTACCATATTTAAAGAAAATTTCTAAATATATTAAATCTGTTTCAAACAACTATTACTATTATAAATTAAAAGCCGCTATTTATAATAATATTAAATAGTTATGTTTTGGTTTCAAACGCTGGCAATCTCTTAAATGTTTATTTCTTAACAATGTATTGTAAATGTTTAAAGAAGAATAAGATAAATGTCCGTAATCAGTCAGTAGCATAATATTATCATGCTTTAAAAATATAATTATTAGTAAAGTTTTAATATTGTCTAATCTATTAATTTTTACCTAGATACAAATGTAAAAATACATAATTTGTTTTATAGTCAGGCCCGGTTTAACCATTAGGCAAACTAGGCGGCCGCCTAGGGCGGCAAATTTTTAGGGGGCGGCACTATTAATTAAATAATTAGTGGGCGTGGGGGCGCAGTGCGACAGGTTCGCCCAGGGTGCCAAATACTCTGGCGCTGGCCCTGTTTATAGTTATAAACATTTTATTTGTGTGTGCCATTTAATGGTGTATATTGAAATCTTATTAATTATATTAAATTGAAAAAGCTTTGTTGTTTTTTCTTTATATCTTATCTCAAGAACTATTTAACCTAAATTAAAAATAAAGACATATAACTTTCTTTGAGCAGAACTAAATACACTTGAATTTGATATCAATGGTTCTGCAAAATAGAAAATTGGCATGTTTCCAATATTCTCGGTGTATCACCCCCTTTACATCAGTAATATATGAACTTTGTTTACCGGGTACAAAAAAATCCATACAAAAAAAGTAGCAATCTCAAAAGTGGAAACTCATAAAATCAGGAAGAACCCACACTATAAACATAGACAAATATAGGCCTATTTAATAGCCCTATTTAATATTACATTAAACACTTGGACTATCCGTAATCAATCAACAAAACCCAGCATGTAATCAGCCTCGGACTGACAACACATTTGGCTCTGCAGGCAAAACACCTAATTCAACAAAGACGTGTGCACAGAAAAACTACTAGAAACAGTATTTATGTAGAGCAAAAATACAAATCCTAATAGATTCAAACCTAAAAACCAAGATATCACTAAATTAAAGCTAACTGAAGCTAAAACATAAACTTGAAAGTTAAACGACTTGAAATCATAAATATGCGATAATCCCATGCAGAGACGTAGCTAGAAATAAATTAGAAATCTGAGAAATAAAGCTTTCCATCGATGTGGTCCAGCGATTCTCAGCACATGAATCGAATCGGTAAAAATTAAACACTTTCAAAATTACTCTTTACCCATTTATAGAGTTTAAAAAATAATATTGTACACAAGTTTCTAATATCTTTTATTTAAATTAAAAAATGTTTTTTGAATAAAAATATATTAAAACTAAAAAATACTCAAAAATAAATATTTTCGCCGACTCGCCACTAACACTGCATCATTGGAGCACTATTGTCATACAGTACAAGGTCTGTTAAATGCTATCTGTGATTTCACGTTTATCTGCTACATTTCCGTTTGGGCTCATCTATTTATACTTAAGTCAGTATCTGCAGACCAAAGTGGTGACCAACATAGAGGCCTCAAGATTGTTTCTCCACGAGAAGTGCTGTAACTTGGTGGAACATGCTATTGAAAATGTGCTTTTAAAATAAAACAAATATGGAATTTCTGCACAAAGAAGATTAAGGTTTAAGAAGAGAATGTCAGGAGAACAGTTTAAAAAAATCCTGGACTCGCTCTGCCAGAAGAAAACAGTATGGAGATGCTGCATTAACTACAAAATTCTGTCCCTTGCGTACAGCTGCATAGATGGCTCAGCACCGGAATATCTCAAGGAACTGATTTATACACATGTATCCTTGAAGAGCCTGCGGTCTTTAACACAGTACTTACTGAGTGTTCCTAGAGTCGATGAACACAGAAAAAAGGCTTACGGAGTGCGCTCTTTTGAAGTGATGGCGCCAAAATTATGGAATAGTTTGTCTCAATCTTTGAAAAAACCAAGGACAGGGAAAAGTCTGATGGGAGGAAAGTCATCATCTTGTTGAATGTTTTAATCATTCTTCTTTTTTTATATCTTTCTTGTCATTGCACACCATGCCGCTTATCGTCCAAATCATTTTCACATTTCACTCCATGGGGGCATCACTCTTCTCACCTAGACAGACAGATCATTTTGTTACAGCTATAAAGACACATCAGATTGGTATAGCTAGATACGCACATCATTTTGGCACGCCTCGTGAGGTTGTGTTAAGCTGGAATGCTACAATACTTTACTAAAAGCAGTTTGAGTTAAAATGTTCTAACTAACTCTCTTAAGAAAACAGCAAACTATCGAGCTAGAGCCCAATGACATAAATGATAAATTACGTACAATATTACATAAATGCAAATTTTAAAAAATAGATAAGGCTTTATACGCAAAACTTTGTTTTTAGGAGTTGTTTAATTTACGTGACCACCATGTTATTTTATTCTTAACTTTAAAGGAAGCAATAACCCGAATAAATAACAGTAACAATTTTGTTTAATCTACCGTCACTTCAGCCTCAGTGGGATTCGTCTGTTTGCCTTGGAAGAGTATCAGTCCGGTTTCTTCATCCCGAATGAAATACATAAATGGATGATCTGCCCGGAAGATGTAAGAATCAGGTGTAGGCCCAATGGCTGACTCGAGGAATCTGACTACGGTTGCAGCCGCAGCAACCACGCCCCTCTCTTCAACTTCTATCTCTACCCGCTGGCGGACATCTGAGATGTGAGTACGGTCTGTGGACATTCCGGAAAAGTCAGCTTCGTCCGAAAAAGCGGTGATCATCCCCAAGTTTATCAATTTTTTGCTTAATTCCATCGTGGCCGTGAGTTTAAACTTTGGCATGGTCAGGAAAAACTGCCCTCCTGGTGAATCCAGTAAACAACGCATTCAGGTCAAAGTCGTCCTAAAAAATCTTCTTCTCAAAGACGGATAGACCTGTGGTAGTTTTGGGAAGGGCGATGTAAAATGCAAATCTGTTATTCACAAAAGGAAGTCTTAGAACATCGACATTCTCTGTAGCGGAAACTTTGAGGTCAAGGTCATTAATTTGTTTCATAAAGTTCACTAGTACAGATTGGCGTTCATTTATCTGAAATATTTCTTTCTCTGTGAGTCTCTCCTCAAACTCCCAGGTTCCATTAAAATATAAGGCATTTATTAGTACAGCCTGGGTACTTTGAGCTATATCCCTGGGTTTCAATAGGTCTGTAATTTTGTTCCGAGTCTTACTAGCCACCCATTTGTTGATGGGAAACGTCGGACCACCAGGTGCCGAAAAGTCGAAGCTCTCAGCAATCGCCTGATACTTGCTGGCCAGAATAGACTGGAAGAAACACAAATAGGACCGAACCGTCAATTTGTTATTACCATCAAACAATTCTTGCACACAAGAATCAAGACCAAGAGACACTTGTGCCTATTGTAAAAAGGAAGATCCTAAGAGTGATGATTGTTGGAAACTCATGAAGAAAAAAATGAGAAGACCGGGTCAACCACGCAAAGTCTTCCCGTGTACGTCCCGTCATACATCTGGAAACATATTTTCAAAATCCAAACGTTGATGCCCTTCTTCAGATGTCCTTACAAACTTCACCGAGGTTTGTCCCGACTCATCGCTGAGTTTTATTCTGAACGGCGAGGCTAGTTTTACCGACTCCAGACAAGTTTCTTCTTCGATTGGGAGTTTTATGGGCTTGTCACCAAGATCATGATGCTCCAAGAGGAGGTAGTGTTAAATATAGCCTCTTATAGCGCAAGGGATTGGCTTATTTTTAATCTTCAACATGAAGCTATTTTTAGCTATGACAACGTGTCTGCTAGTTTGGCCTTGATATTGACGCCACCGAGTTAATATGCTGTGTCACTCCTTCTTTGCCCACATCCTTCTTGACTGGGAAAAGATCAATTACATTCTAATAGGTTCTATTATTCTACGGGATGCCATTTGGTGACGCAATTTAAGAGCTCAAAATTTACTATCAAATATAGTTCAATGGCACAGTTCTGCAGTGATCGCCAATGTTGAAAACGGCTGAAATAGTTACGCAAATTTTGTACACCCAAAAACCAAGTCCCCTTTTAAATTGCTCAACCATAACAAAAAGTTATATAAGCTTAGTTAATTAACAAATATTTTAAAAAAAGCATATACAATTTTCATTCCATTGTGACAGGTCTTCGGGCTTGAAAATGTATTTCCAGCATCTGGCGGACCAGGGTGCCTTCAGAAGTCTTCTTCTTTAGAAGAGCGAAATAAGACCCTAGCGCTTCCAAAATTGAACGCTGTCGGGGTGGGGCGGGGGGGGGGCTCAACTGGCGGGAATATCTAACAGAATTTCCACTTAATTAAAAATTAAGAAAAATGCAATGCAATTGAGTGATAAAAATAAACTTCATATAAATATCTATTGAAACTGCTAATTGTTATACTAAGTGTTATGTACTTCTGACACAGAACCTGGTTTTACATCAATTGTTATCTGGCTTTACAGGCTTTGTCTTGTAGGGAGTGAAGAACATTTCAAAAGAGAAAGACGATCAACTTTCAACTTTATGTGTCCTCTTTATACAGGGTACGCAGATGCAATTTATCCCTTTCGTTTACCTGGCTTCCTATTTAGGTATGGACTTGATTAGAGCTGTTCATTATCCATCTCTAAACTGAAATAATTGAATTACTTTTTTTCCTTTGTAATGTCCAGTCTCTAAATTGTAACTCTCATGCGATGAGAATCAGAAAAATTATTAAAACGTATTGAATTTATTTCCAAATTATGTTTTAATAGTTGAAGTAGCGTTAAGTATAGAATTATGCTAAAATAAAATTTAAAAACAAAACAATGAAAGCACAAATCAGAGCAACTGGTCTTTAATCAGTTTTGACTTTTTTTCAACTTTTGTCTTAACTGAGTTCTCCCGCAGTAAAATGACTTATGGTAGGATCTGCCTGCTTTCCTTGGAATAGTATCAGACCTGTCAGGTCGTCCCTTAGGAAATAAACGTAAGGGTGGTCGGCCTTGAAATCAACTGGGGGTTCTTCGAATGATTGCCTTGACCCTGCCAGCACAACAACGTCTGCTGCCGAGGCAACTGTGCCCGTCTCTGAGACCTCTATCGCCACCTTCTGCAGAATCTGCATGAACGAGATGGGCAAACCGGAAATTCCCGAAAAGTCGGCTGCTTGCGTGAAGATTTCAGGCATTCCCAAATCAATCAGAGCGTTGTTCAGTTTCAACGTGGACGTGATGTTCCATTTGGGCAGGGTTAGATTCACCCTTGTGCTGGTTAAGCCTGTGAACAAAACATTTATATCAAAGCTCTCCCCAGTGATCTGTGTCTCAAAAGCTGCTAGATCTGAAGGCGCGTTTGGGAGCGCAATGTACAACGCGAATCTTTCGTCAAGAAACGGGAGTCTCACGACGTCGACGTTCTCAACGGCGGACAGCTTGAGGTCAAAAGTCCCGACCTGAGTCATGAAGTCGACTTGCAGATCAATGCGCTCATTTTTTTGGAAAGCTCCCGTCTTGGTGTCTCTCACGTCAAACGGCGACTTCCAGGCGCCGCTGAAAAATAGGGCGTTGACCAGGACGGTGGACGTCCCGGGCTTGACGTCCCTGACGCCCAGTACGTCTGTTATCTTGCCCTGAGTTTGTTGGGCGATGTAGCTGTTGATCGGACCCTCCGGGCCACCAGCTTTTGAGAATTCAAGGACACCGACTTGAGCGAAGTATTTACTTGCAACGCTGTCCTAAATACAGGGGGGGGGGAGATTTTTTTTTTTAATTTAATGAATAAAAAAAAATGAAAGGAAAGCTTGCCTTTATGAAGCACTTTACTTGAAATATTATTGGCCTATAATTCGTGGTATTATTGGCCTAAAATTCCTGGTAGTATTGGCCTAAAATTCGTGGTATTATTGGCCTAAAATTCTTTAAGTATTATTTGGTCTAAAATACATAAGGTAACATGAAATTAACGCTAAGAGTTATAAGAATATGACAACAGCGAGCAAGGCTTTGCAAGTAGCCTAGAGGGAGTAAAAAGAGTAGGAGAATAGGGAGCTAGGCTTTGCAAGTAGCCTAGATGGAGTAAAAAGAGTAGGAGAATAGGGAGCTAGGCTTTGCAAGTAGCCTAGATGGAGTAAAAAGAGTAGGAGAATAGGGAGCTAGGCTTTGCAAGTAGCCTAGATGGAGTAAAAAGAGTAGGAGAATAGGGAGCTAGGCTTTTCAAGTAGCCTAGATGGAGTAAAAAGAGTAGGAGAATAGGGAGCTAGGCTTTTCAAGTAGCTTAGATGCACATACAAATTGACGGGGAAATTGTATCCCGCAATTGTTTGATGCCTCACTGTGATACCAATATGTTCACAGAATTTATTCTTGCAGGTTTTTCTGTATAGTATGTTACCACGGCTGTCATGTAAACGTCACATTTGTCTTTTTGTGTGTGATTTCATTCAATTAAATGGAATTAGAAGGTGAATTTTGCTGAATATTTGATGATGCCCAGATGTTCACTGAATCTACCGTAAATGAAGCCCTCTTCTCACCCGGATGCTGTGTGGCCGACTTTGTGGATGTAGTGAGACTTGCGGTCAAAGTACTGCTCAATTTCCAAACATTGCTTTGACGTAAACAGTCCAGAGAAGATATCTTTCCTGACCATAACCCCTAATATCGAACAGCTCACCCGGGGACGGAGCAATACGCGCCTCCAGACTAACGCCTCACTAAAGACATCTTGGTACATTGAGTCCTGGGGAATGTAAAATCCCTAATGATGTACACGTCTGGTAAGTGTAATCAATACCTTGTATTCCTGTAAGACTGGCAAAGTGGGATTGGCCCAGAGACCGTTGGCGGTCAGCAGAGTCACGCGTTGCGTAGAGTTGAGGTCAGTGAGAAGTTTGCTGTAGGCATCGTGTGGTTCGGGTAGACTCGAAAGCTGGAAAGAAATATTTATGTTATATCTTATAAATAGTTTGCTTCTGGTGTGGCTGCTTCTTTTTCGCAACCGAACCTTCCCTACTCAGCATGTTTTATATTAATAGTACCGACTGGGAAGGAAAAAAAGCTGTCAAGCAGCGAGCTTCATGTGTGACGTTTGAGCTCAGGTTAAACAGTTTCAATTTTTTTCGGAGGCGACTATTATATTAATCAACAACGTGCCACGGGTATGGTGTAGGACTGTCGTTAGGGCTATTGTTTAAAGGCCGGCATATATTATAGAAAATGAGAAGATAACTTTTTTTTTAAACAACGGGACCCACTGGGTCTTTTATCAAAATACCCGGACCCTGTGTACAAAAACTGCACCCGGTTAAGCCCTAGTATATATTGTTAATCGAATGTTATATGAACCAGGTAAATCATAGAAACTATTGTAACTCTAATTTTCAATGTTAATCCAACTTTGGATAGAGAAAGAAATAATGAAATTTTATTTCAACATGTTCAGTTAATTAACAAATATCTGCTATAAGCTGGCCTTTTTCCCTCTTTCGTTTTATATATATATATATATATATATATATATATATATTTTGTTAAATGATATCTCCCTTTGATCACCCTTGACTCTTGAAAATTACTGCCCTTTTTCAGTAACATCATCTTGCTCTTTAAAACAAACAAAATAATGAAATTTTATTTCAACATGTTCAGTTAAATAACAAATATCTGCTATATGCTCGCCTTTTTCTCTCTTTCGTTTTATATATATATATATATATATATATATATATATTTTGTTAAATGATATCTCCCTTTGATCACCCTTGACCCTTGAAACTTACTGCCCTTTTTCAGTAACATCATCTTGCTCTTTAAAACAAACAAGTTTTAAGACTTAACACCATATCATTTTTTGTTTTGTTTTTGAAGTTCCTAAGTTACCACCAAAACATTCCTTGGTATCTGATGCACTCTTTTTCCACGGATTAACTTGTTGGTTAATATGATCAAATGCATACACATTTGATTAAGTTGTATTATCTGTTCCCGTTCAATGCCCACTTGACCACACTGACCACCACACACGTTCAGCAAACATCGTTGAATGTTAATGTGAGGCACTTACTCAGAACGGTTTGCAACTCAAGATTAGCACACTGCTGGAATCCCACGTCTCAACATTCACTTACCTCACTCAGCAGTCGGTGAGTGACCGGAACCATTGAAGGATATTGTCTTGTCAAGCTGATATTATCTTTGTTATGCAATACTGAAACATACTTGCAAGCAGACCTACTTTGTAGGATACATTTATCTGTTCAACTAACCCCAGGCGTCTTTGTATATTGGCTTAAAACCGCCCTCTGTCTCACTTCATTCCATTCAGCACAAGCTTACAACTTTCCTCTGTCTCTCTTCATTACATTCAGCACAAGCTTACAACTTTCCTCTGCCTCTCTTCATTCCATTCAGCACAAGCTTACAACTTTCCTCTGTCTCTCTTCATTACATTCAGCACAAGCTTACAACTTTCCTCTGTCTCTCTTCATTCCATTTAGCACAAGCTTACAACTTTCGTCTGTCTCACTTCATTCCATTCAACATATGCTTACTACCCCCCCCCCCAACTGTCTCTCTTCGTTTTACTTCATTCAACACAACCTTACAACCACCCTCTGTCTTGCTTCACTCCATTCAACACAACCTTACAACCGCCCTCTGTCTTGCTTCACTCCATTCAACACAACCTTACAACCACCCTCTGTCTCTCTGCTTGCTTCGCTCCACTCAACACACTCTTCCCAACTGACCTGTAGAACAGTTTTGATCTGTTCGGCCGTCGTCCCCCTGGCCCCAAGATACGCTATGGACAGGGCGGTGTGGGCACTGAAAGGGGAATAGAAAGCTACGGTGGGGTTGAGGGCCAGCTCCTTGTACAACTGCAGAGAGAACCTGGACGTGGCTCTGGCCAGTGTCAGAACATCGACGTCAGGAGTGGAGGCCACGAGCGATAAGCAGCCGACAATGGTGGCCAACGCAATCATGGCTCTGTACATCATTTCAAGCTAGTTAGTCTATTGAACACAAGATGTACATGTGATGTCTTTTTTATAACAGGCGTAAAGTTGAAAAATAACAAATTAACAACAATAATAACAACAATAATAATGTAACGTAATTAATGATGTTATAATTATAATTAGCACTAATAACACTCATAATAATAAGAGCAATAATAACAATAATAATTATAATAATAATAATAACAGCAATAATAATAACAGTAACATGAAGAAGATGAGTAAAAATAATTATAATAATTTATATTATCTGTTCATATCAAGTAATTCAACGAAGAACATGCCAAGTGACGATAAGCTTCAAATGTTTGAAAAAAATATTTTTTTTTTTTACATTCTAGAACAGGGGCCTCCAAACTACGGCCCGCGGGCCGCATGCAGCCAGCGAGGCCCCCTTATGCGGCCCGAGGAGACGTTTTTGTCTACGGGAAAAATTACGGAAATGTACGTGTATCCTGCCAAGATCAGACGCCGCTTATGTGGACGTTATGTTTTTACCGAACTAAAATAGAGGCGCGCAGTGGTGCGTTATGTTTTCTAACCGATCATTACTTTGCAAAACCTTATTCGCTGCTTAGTTTTTCTACTTCCGTTCACAGTCAATGAGATGATATAACGCCATCTAGTGGTGGAGCTTTGAAAAAATTGTGACTCAAATAGCGAAAAATGCAAGCAAGTTTCGCCAAATTTAATTGCAATGGATGAATCGCTGGACAGCTGTCCCACCTCTCAACTGCTTGTGTTCATTAGAGGTGGGGATGAAGACATGAACATAACACAAGAGTTGGTTTCCCTACATAGTATGTACGTAACTGTTAACGTAGCGGGTATATTCAATGAGTTGAAAAAAAATGTGCTGATTATAACTTGGACTGGACTAACCTCAGTTGCCTGACTGTTGAAGGGGGAAATAACATGAGTGGCATAAAGAAGGTCTTGGCTGGACAAGTAAAGCAGCTGTGTAATGAGAAAAAATTCTGCAACCAATGTTCCTGCGCTGTATTATTCAGCATAAGTTGCCATAAGCTTTGTGTGCTAAATATGTGAACATTAGCAGTGTACTGAATCCTGGGGTGAAGAGAGTTAATTTCATAAGGTCATATGGGCTCAACCATAGACAGTTCAGAGACCTGTTGAAAGATTTAGACACAGAATCGCAAGATTTACTATATTACACAGCAATACGAGAGGCCAAGTTGTGAGAAAGTTCTGAGCAGAGTATTTAAGTTAAGAAAGGAAATAGGTGACTTCCTGGAAAGTAAAAAGGCAAGCCACAGCCATTACCGTCTGATGAAGAGAGGGTATGGAAATAGGCCTTTGCTGCAGACATAACTAGTCATTTAAATTTTCTGAACTTACAACTGCAAGGAGAGAAAAATAAAGTTTCTGATTTATTCATCACCTAAAGGCCTTCAGATCCAAACTCGTATTGTTTTTGAAACAAGTACATGCCAATAACTTAACGCTCTTTCAGCAGTGCATAGTCTTCATGGCCGAAGCAACAGCAGAGTTCCCCACGTCATTTGCATGGGAGATCATCAGCCGAAGTTTCAGCAGCGTTTTTTTTTTCACTTAAATTTAAAGGCAGAAGAAGTGAGACTTTTTCAAAACCCATTTGAAGCAGATGTGGCCAGTCGCCCAGATGAACAGCACCTGGAGGTCATTGAGTTGCTAGCAAATGACCTCCTTATGGACAAGTTAAAAGAATGACTGGTGGGTTTTTAACCAGTTTTCGCCCAAGTAAGACTTTCCTAATTTCAAAACTATTGCATCAATGTACCTTTCAATCTTTGGAACAACATACCTGTGTGAACAAACATTTTCACGAACAAAAGACGTGAAGTACAATTTCAGAATACATTTTTCCAATGATAATCTCAGGTCACTGTTGATGTTAGGGACATCAAATCTAAATCCAGAAATGTCTGTTAATCACTGATATTTTGGCATCTAGGAAACATTTTCACCATTCCCACTAATACGGGTGTTCATGTGTCGTGTATCAATGTGTTTTTAAATAATAACTGAATGAAATAATATTACATAAATAATATAAAAAATCATCCATGTTTTGATTCTTTTTTATTTGGACTCGAGTGTGTAGTCGGCCCCCGAACTGCTGTTTGATAGTTAATGCGGCCCTCGGGCTGAAAAGTTTGGAGACCCCTGTTCTAGAACATCAAGACTTTATCAAGTCTTTTATCGGGCTACATCAACGAAATAATACACCGGTTTCACGATTCTTTAGTTTTCATAAATTTATTTATAGTTCAATGGACAATAATATTACACACACACACACACACACACAAAGGACAAAATTAAAATCGTTATTTTAGGTTTATCCTTCGTGAAAGTTTAAATAATAATCACACAGAGTCGTCCGTGAAAACACGTTGACAATTCTATTTGTGCACTTTGACTTTTACGGATGAGATAACTGTCAAAGCTGGTTTCGTTCCATACCTATTAAAACAACATAATGTGTTATGTACGTTTTTTTTTACTGAATATGTATTTGCTAAGTGCAAGACACTGAGCTTACCGTACCACGTACTCAAATCACAAATGCTGGACCGCTTTGTCGCCCCGCGGGAAACAAAATGGCTGACAGGGAGTCTAAACAAACCCTGGTCTTATAAGGTATTAACCAAGCAAAAATGCTTTTTTTTCTGTTTTTATAAAAAGCCATGGGATCTCGCAAAGTACATCTGGTGGGGCATGCACTAGAGCCCTCAATCCCACCCCATCCCCTTATCAAAAAAGGGGGTGGGGGTCTAGTCAGTCAAAACTTTATTGGGGAAGGTAAAAGGTTCCCTTTATTTATTGGGTGGTATTTACGAACATAAACAAAGGTAGATGTCTTTTTTTAAACGACTGTTTTGTCGATTTCGAATCCAAAAAATTTAAGAGTTATCAGTTACCTTTATATTAACTTGGCTTTAGTTCGTGTGGTTTTTTGTGTTTTTTTTAAGTCAAACATTTGGACGGCTAATTGACCCACTTCCCGTCATCCTATCGAGTTGAAACTTGGTACATAGGGTCTCGATAGCTGGGTTACATGAGATGCTTTCAAATATCGCAAGTGCTTTAGGTGCGTAATATTTTCTGTTCTTTTAAATATATTGTTGGTATAATAAATCTCGGTGTAAAAACGGGGGGGGGGACATTAGAATATTAATATAGTTCAGGGGCGTGAAAAAAAATGCGGTTGCGATCCTCGGTGGGTTGAAAAAGGGGGGGGGGCTAATTGGGATTCTTCTAAAGTGCGTTACTTGAATGCATGTGTTGTCAAATGTTCAGACCCATTTACCCCCCCCCCCCCCCCGCTATTGCTCGATATGACATTTTATGAAGGACTTATACGAAAAACTTTTGTTTTTAGGTGTTGTTCAATTTGTGTGATCACGTGAACAGTTCCACTTGAGAATAATAGAATTAGATCTGGGGAAAATTAATGCCGAACTTTGTTAAGACCCAATGGTGTTACGGTCGAACTGTGTTGAGGCTGAATGGTGTTGAGGCCAAACGGTGTTAAGGCCGAATGTTGTTGAGGTCAAATGGTGTTGAGGCCGAAAGGTGTTAAGGTTGAAGGGTGTTAATGCTGAATGATGTTAAGGCTGAATATTGTTAACACTGAATGGTGTTGAGACCGAATGATGTTAAGGCTGAATAGTGTTTAGGCCGAATGGTGTTAAGACTGAATGGTGTTAAGACTTAATGGTGTTAAGGTCGAATAATGCATGAAAGTAAAGTGGTTGGATTTTGTATGTAAAATGTGGCCATCACGCGTATGAATTAATAAGATAGAGGGGGTGTAATGGTGGGAGAAATGATGGTTTACGGAGAAATACAAGTATAAAGCTACAGTAGTTAAGACAGCTTGAGTGAATATGAGGGATCAAGAGTGAGGAAAGGTGAAGACGAGTGAGAATGATGTCCACGAAATGTACATCAAATGATGAAGATCACGTTAGCGGCATATCAATAAGTAACCGAAAAATGAAAGAGAAAGAGAGAGACAGGTGTCTTGTCTTTTTTTTTAGGCATGAAACTTGAGAACACTAATAAAAGAAATGTGATTTCTCTCAACATCCATATCTGGAAATACAATTGTGTAATTAAAGTATACATTCCACTCTCTTTACTATCGCACATAAATACAACTATTGTTGTGTATTTGATGTAGAAAATCCAAGAAGTTGATTTTGTACGCCATGCTGTGTTATTGAATTGGGGTCTTTTTTGGATCTTTTTTAAACATATCACCTTAATACATACACATGTTTGTAGTTTGAGTAAACAAATCGGCGGCCTTTGTCTTATACGTTTGACTCTTAACGTGAGAACCACTGTTTTGATACATCGCTAATTAGTGCTGAAGTGTGTTGCATCACTCTCAGGTTTTCTCCTTAATGATTCTATGTCCAGGCCGACACAGTTTACGATGTTCATGTCATCCCCGGGCAACAACAGTTGGTTGAACGTTTAAAGGGAAAGACGAGCTTTGTGGGGCATTTTATGTTTATTGTCCCCCGCAGACGAGCCTAGCTGGGATATTAGAGTAAAGGGCCCCCCCCCCAAGCTATCTTGCCTAGCTTGTATATAAGACTAAAGGGCTCCCCGTAGATGTCTAGCTTGAACACAAGACTAAAGCCCCCCACCCCTCGAGACTTGTACCATCCAACCTAGTAACACACCATCCAGCCTAGTAACACACCATCCAGCCTGGTAACACACCATCCAGCCTAGTAACACGCCATCCAGCCTAGTAACATGCCATCCAGCCTAGTAACACACCATCCAGCCTAGTAACACGCCATCCAGCCTAGTAACACACCATCCAGCCTAGTAACACACCATCCAGCCTAGTAACACACCATCCAGCCTAATAACACGCCACCCAGCCTAGTAACACCCCATCCAGCATAGTGAAACACAATCCAGCATGGTAACGCACCATCCAGACTAGTAACACTATATCCAGCCAATAGTAACAAACAATCCAGGCTAGTAACACTATATCCAGCCAATAGTAACAACAATCCAGACTAGTAACACACCCTCCAATCTACCGCTCCGTCTGATGCGTACGCTTTCGGTGACCATGGTCAGGTCAATAAGCAATTATCAGTTTCGCGTTTTCGTCTTAACAAAAAGTAAAAACTGTTTGGAAACAAGGTCCGAACACTAAACACTATACACTTGTTCTGTTGTCATAAAAAGAAGACATGATAATAATGGCGATCCGATTGCTTCCTATCGTTGTGGGTCTACTGGCCATCATTGGACGTGTCGATTGCGCATGGGGGATTCCCGAGACACGAGATTTCGTCCCATTGTCCACAGCTTCCACCAAGTTCTCCCAGAAACTGTACAAGGACCTGGCCATCAACCGGCCAAACGCTGTCTTCTCACCTTTCAGTGCTCACGTGGCCCTGTCTATGGCCTACCTTGGAGCAAGGGGTAACACGGCTAACGAATTGAGGACCGCTTTACAGGTACATTTCATATATTTTATAGATGCTATTATATAGTTAGATTCTAGAACAGTGGTTCTCAACCCTCCAAATGCCACGACCCTTTGATACAGTTTCTCATGTTGTTATTACCCTCAACCATAAAAATTATTTTCGTTGTTATTTCATAAATATGTGTTTTCCGATGGTCTTAGGCGACCCCTGTGTAAGGGTCGTTCGACCGTCGCGACCAAAAGGCTGAGAAGCACTGTTCTACGAACATAAGCATGAAGTTTATATATGCTTTGTTTAACACCACACAGGGCAGTACACTTAGTGACGCAGTAAGGGTGGACGGACGTGGTGGTCTGCTCCGGGCCGCACTCCGTTTCTTAATATAGTTTGGCTGCATTTTCGGCCACCTTAAGAGTTTTTCATAGAAGTGGGCCGCGAAAATCTTGGTCCAGCCGAGGCGGCACTAACACTCCAAACATAAGGAACACAGTATAATAAACACAATATAATTAACGCAGTACAGTGTACAAGTGAAATGTAACCAAAAAAATAATCAAATAAGTACGCTGTTCTTCTCCAAGATGCGAAGGTTTGATGTTTTCGTGTAATTATATTTCCAGTGTCTAGGTTATATTTGAGTTACCAAAAAGCCACAAATAAATGAATGTTTATAAAGGCCACAAGATTCACTGGCTTCCCGTGATGAACATGTTCACCTCATCTTTTCACTGCATGTATCTATTCAATGTCTAAAATTACCCATCTCACCATTTCGCCCACTTCTCCTTGATCGGTTCTACAAAATATTGTTTTTGTTCTTTCCTTTTCATACATACCGTCTTTTCAACCGTATTTCTGGACACGAAGCTGACCCCTGAGATTGAAGTGCACGACAATTACCAGGAGCTCATTGACCTCCTGAACAAGGTCAATGACGTCACACTGGACATCGCCAACAGTGTCTGGATCCACCCAGACATCACGCTGCTTGAGGACTACAAGGTCACTAACAGATTGAACAAATCATGATGTTCTGCTAAAAAAAATAGTTGTCATAGATGTCGATTGTCTTGCTTGGTATTTTGTTTTTTCTGTTCATATTTATTCAATGTAATTCACTGCACTCAATTCCTGAATGTTCTAAAAAGTATACTTAAGGGAATACTTTGTTTTGTTTTTTTTTATTAAAAAGGTAATATTTCACTTTCTAAACAAACATTTCACGGAACATGTTTTTTTTTTTTTCATGAATACAAATAATAGTGTAGCCTATTACATTGTCAGTGTCAGAGAAATGATTTATTTAAACATAAGATTAGAAGGAAATATAATGTAATAATCTGCTACTGCCACAGTTAGTAGATACTGGTTGACGAAATTTTCTGATATAAATAATGGCGACTGTTTCATGCTTTTTAAATCTAACATTTGCTTCACAGAAGTAGATCTTTGAAACATGTCCCATTTAACTTTCAAACATTCAGATGTATACTTAAGACACATTTGAAAAATCTGTTAATCATATTTTTAAATCTATAACACGCATACCCCCCACACCCCCATCTCTTTTTTTCATCCCTCCCACCAGACTGAACTTGTCACTAAATACTACGCCAACGTTGATGCTCTCGACTTCTCCAACCCAAACGGACCAGAGCAACCGATCAACACCTGGGTGGCCAAACAAACACGTGATAAGATCAGAGCAATCGTGCCCCACGGTGTCTTGTCCCCATCCACGAGTCTCATCATTGTCAACACGGTTTACTTCAGTGCCGACTGGAACTCGGGGTTCAATGAGACGCTCACCAAGAACAAGACGTTCACTAAGCAAGACGGGCTCAAAGTTCAAGTGGAGATGATGACACAGACTGGACGGTTTGAAATCAAGGAGTCGGTCGTCGCGGGCGCGGGTGTTCTCAGGCTACCGTACAGCGATGAACGGTTCGCGATGTACGTCCTTCTGCCGAGAACATTCTCTGGATTGCCAGATCTAGAGAAAACGATCGCCGACGACGATTTCGACAACGACATGCTCTTCAATGACTTTATGGAGGCCACCGTCGCTGTCAGTCTTCCCAAGTTCCAGTTTACAGCTTCGATGGATCTCAAGAACACACTGAAAAAACTGGGGCTGTCTTCGGCTTTCTCCGAATCGGCCAATTTCTCCGGGATCTCGGCAACGAAAACGCACATTTCCGGGGTCATGCAGAAGGCCATGGTAGAGATCAAGGAGTCTGGAACAGTTGCCGCAGCCGTTACAGAAGTGGATGTAAGTAATCGGAGTACTTTCCCGGCGGTTAAAAAAACGCCTTTTACATTCAACGCCGATCATCCCTTTGTGTATTTCATAAGACAGGATTCTTCGGGACAAATACTTTTTCATGGGAAGCTGTCAGATCCTCAGATGGAGAAGATGGAAGCCAGCTAAGATATTGTAGTCACTGGCCATACCCTGAAATACATATGTCATTCTCTCCCACCCCTTCTCTCTCTCTCTCTCTCTCTCTCTCTCTCTCTCTGACCCTCTCTCTCTCTCTCTCTCTCTCATCCTCTCCCTCTCTTTCCTCCTTCCCCCCTCTCTCTCAGTATATTGACTATCAACTCCATCTGTTGAGCTGAGCCACACAACATTTTCCTCACAAAGGTCCTCCAACCTATGTCATTCTCTCCCACCCCTTCTCTCTCTCTCTCTCTCTCTCTCTCTCTCTCTCTCTGACCCTCTCTCTCTCTCTCTCTCTCTCATCCTATCCATCTCTTTCCTCCTTCCCCCCTCTTTCTCCCTCAGTCTTTCTCTCTCAACCTGCCTGTCCTCCCTCCCTCTTCCATTCTCTCTCTCTCTCTCTTTCTCTCTCTCTCTTCGTGTTCTGGTTCAAAGACCATAATAAACGCATCTGATGTATAATTGCGAATGATTTTCTTGTGTTATGTTGACATTTCAGTGATGAACATGGCTACCGCTACTCCAATGTTAAAAAAATTCACTTTGTGTCAAATAATACGAATGGATGCAACTACCAACACCGCGGGCCTGGACTTAGGGCCCTTACTGCGTCCGTCAAGACGAGTGATTAGAACATTAAATACTTCCATTAAGCTTATCAGCTTTTAAAAAAAAAATTTTTTTTAAAGTAATAAAAAAAAAGAACAAATAGCTTAAGCTTGGGGTAAGGTGTACATTCATTTTATAATTGGTTCACACTACCTCCCGCAATTAGCGATAAGCCATGATGACGTAGAATGTCTAGAACAGAGTAGGGTTTGTCATTTCTAAGACCGGAAAACGCCAAAGCGCACTTTATAAAACATAGCTTTTAAATATGTATTTCCGCCTCTACATATTACAGAGCAGTAACAATTTGTTTGTAAAATCTTTCGTAAAATAAAGTTGTGACACGTTTTCGTCTAGGTTAAGCCCCACTACGATGGCTCACATTAACGTAGAAGTATCGAACAGCTGTTGGGAGATTGGCCCAACGGAAAACCCGGATGTTTGATTAATGTCTAAATGAGATTGGCCAGACCGCACGCCCGGGTGTTCTAATAATAGATTTCCGCCATTAATGGACAAGACTTATTGGGCGTAAACAAAAACAATATAATAGATTTTATTAAATGAAGTGTTTATATCAAATGAAATGAAGTGTTTATATCAAATGATTATTTTTTCTTTAGCTTGCTGTCTAAATCGTCAAAATATTAAAAGCGTTGTTTGTTTTTTTATACCCCAATATCTTAGACATTGAATTTGGATTCAGAACATTTTTGTACCAAGACTACTAAGTGTAGAACCAAAAGTGACCAAGCGTGCAACCAGGGTTTCTTTCAGCTATATCTCCGGGGGGGGGGGGGGGAAGCTAAGGGCCCACCGAACAAAAAATATGTCCAACAATAAACCAACCGGCATTGCCCCCCCCACCCCGAAAATCTGAAGTGCCACCCCCCCCCCCCGGGGGAATTTCTGAAAGAAACACTGCATGCAACTAATATGATATTTTATCTAAATAAACAATTTAGTTTCTAGCTTTGCCATTCTCGACATTGAGAAGGATTAGATTGAGATATACAGTTTTTTTTTTTAAATAATAAATTAATGCAATGATTTTCTCAGTAATGCTTGAATCCTTAAGTATTATAAGATAATTTTTTTTTAAAACTGTCCTATTGTAATGTTTTAATGTTTCATTAGATACTATTTGAAACACATAGACATAGCACAAGGATATGTAACATAACCTTTCTTATTTTATTAGTAAATGTTTAATTTAAGATTGTTTAAGTCATATGTGTTTATGAGATATGAGATATGACAGTGAATGTCATAAATAATTAAAAGATTATCAATAACACTATATATATTATATTATATATTATTAAATTGAACTTTCTCTAACCCATTTTTGACCATCACTAAATCTTTCTATTTTATTTTCCCAATACATTCCCAAATTTCTTCCTCATCTAACTCAAATGATTCAATGAGGGATCTCTTCACACTATTTGCAAGGAATTTTTTTTTAAAACTTTAATAGTTTATGAAAATACAAATTACAAATTGGTCACTCAACAATTGTTTGAATGGATAGAGAGTCAATGTATTTAAAATATTACTCGTTAGTTTACTTTATTTCATAGTTGCATAAATTATTTTCGAGTGGAACATAAATTGATGAATATTGAAAGCCAATGATGTTTAGAAATCGAGGGGCACACACTGCAAAATCTCAAAATATTTTTTTAAAATATACGTTTTTTAAAAAAAAAAATTGTTCCCCCAATGCCGGGGCCCCTTAAAGTGCAGTGGCCCTAGGCAGTTTTCTATAACGCAACTAGTTTAATACCCAATTAAAACTGAATGAAATTTAAAATATAAAAAAATCGATTTCATGGAGACCAACAAACATTATTTATTGATATATTTACTTAATCACAAACTTCAGCTCGAATGTCAAAATATAAAGTCTATAGATTCTAAACGAGCCGTTGGTCGTCCACAGCTCTATTCTATGTTGATCTTTGTGACTGATGGATCCGTCAACTTGCCTTGGAACAGGATCCGTTTGTTTCTGTCGTCCCTGAGGAAGAACATGAAGGGACGGCTGACGTCGACGAAAGGGGGGAGTATTAATTCCTGCTCGAGTATCTGAGTGGCGGCTCCGGCAAAGGTTCCCGATTCCATCACTTCTATGACGGCTTTTTGACACACTTGACTTATTCGCACCAGTCCGTCGGACACCCCGGAGAAGTCTGCCTCCACCGAAAAGGCCTTCTGCATGCCGAGTTTGATCAAAGGGTCGTTCAACTTCATCGAAGCTTCCAGTCTGAATTTGGGCATCTTAACTAAGAGATCCTCCATTGGCATGCCATCAAACAATGAGTCTAGTACCCCGCTATCGCTTGAGAGTCCTTTCTCGATTTTGACCAAACCAGATACGGACTTGGGTAAAAGAATGTAGAAAGAAATATCACCGCCTTTGAAAGGCAACCTCACCAAGTCAGCCCCCATGTAAGCCTCTTCTTTGTAAGCAAACAGTCCCACTTGGTGCATGAAATCAGCGTCTACACCTGTGTTGTCCGACCTGTGAAACATGCCCTTCACGGTTGCCTCTTCGCTGAACTGATTCTCCCACGTGCCGTTGAAATAGATGGTGTTGACGAGGACGAGAATGGTGTCTTTTTCCCTCAGAAGCCCCTTGGGGATGATCTCGCGAATATTGTCGGCGGTCCGGTTGGACACCCAATCGTTGATGGGTTTTTCTGGGCCGTCAGGAGATGAAAAGTTCAGCCGCTCAACATCAGCGTAATATCGACTGATCAGCTCGTCCTGGGTGAGACATACACAACTTTATTGCATTTTTAATTATTTTTTTTTTTTAAATTAAGTGTCATCTCTTATTACGGGGTGGGAGGGATAACTTGTTCTTTTTAAATCCTTTTTTATTCACTTCGCTTTTGTGTGTTTATGGCAAAATCTTCGGACGACGAATTGGCCCATTTCCCGTCAATCTATCGAGCTGAAACATGACATATAGACCTGTGGCCGATGACAACTTATTTTATATAAAAATTTCAACCCCGCCCCCAAAACCCAACCCACTAAAAAGATCAGTTTTCCCTGTTTTTCAAATTTTATGCTAATAGTTTCTTTTGTTTTTAGGATATAATTGATAAAATTAATCTTCGGTGTAAAAGCAGGTGGGGGGGGGGGGTATTTCGGGCCACCTGTTTTGAAGGGGATAGTCACGGCTAACACAGGTCAACACTCTTAAGATTAGAAAAAGCAGGTTAGAATATTAATATAAAATACAATGAAAAAGAATGCTCATAAAGAATTTATACGAAATACTTTATTTTTAGGTTTTATTTAATTGTACAAATTATTTATTTTTAACAAAAAATTGATTAATATTGTTCATAAAAAAATGCATTTCTTTAGAGTTCAGATATTTGTATTATACTCATTTCTGGTTAACTCTCTACACATGAGAGCAAAAAGCATTCACAACTATCAGAAATATAACAAACACGCAAATAATAATTTTAAAAAATATATATATTTCAATTTAAAAAGAAAACCCATTTGAAGTGCACACATTAATTACTAGGGAACACAAAATATCAGATTTGAGCATAGTATGTAGATACTATGCTATGTGTCCATCCCGTTACCATTAAATGTGGTACCTTATACTCCTGGTGAACGATGACGTTAGGATTGGACCAGACGCTGTTACAAACCAGCAACGTGGAATCGTTCCTTGTTGTTATGTACTCGAGCCATTTCCGGTGCAATTCGTGTATGTTCGTGACGTTTCTAATCTGTAATTAATTAATTTTTTTTTATATTACATGTGACGCCAACACAGTTAAATTTATTAAATTTCAATAATATAAATAAATAAAACGAGATGAAGAAATTATGTTTTTAAAAAAATACTTTTATCTGATTCATTCATAGCCGCAAACCTAAGATGTCACACCATTTTTTTTTGTCTTCTTCCTGCTCCTGCAGTTTGTCATCAGGGACTGCAAGTATGGAAAATCGGGTGTGTTGGCAAGATGACTCAATATCTTTATTCTTAACTGCCGCTAGCCGACGATTTTTTTTCCTAACAACACGAAAGGGTGGTGAGCTACAGAAACGTGTTGATCTTCTGCAGGGAGTTAGGACTGATCATGATTTGAATGAATTACAAAAATGTCTGATGTGTCACATTATGAGCATTCAGTGGCAGGACACGGTGCTTTAAAAAAAAAAAAAAAAAAAAAAAAACGTGTTGATCTTCTGCAGGGAGTTAGGACTGATCATGATTTGAATGAATTACAAAAATGTCTGATGTGTCACATTATGAGCATTCAGTGGCAGGACACGGTGCTTTAAAAAAAAAAAAAAAAAGATGTTCTGGGTCGTATCAAAATGAGCAGCATTTTCTCAACGTGTAGTAAACAGGCGTCGCTGCTAGTTAGGCCATATAAGGACTGCCCTTATGGAAAACTGGAATAAGGACAGGAAACCACCCCCACCACTAAGCTATAAAGATGTATGTAAACAAAATGGAGGGAGCTACAAGAACAATTATCGCTGGTGACAGATTCCGTCTGGCGAACACCTGTAAAAATAGGAATCCAAAAGACTGAGAATGCATGGAAAGAAGTCCTTGCCGAAGAAAGAAACATTAATGGGTAAAGGAAATGAGCAGTGAAGGTACATCAACGAAAAAAACACTCTATAATCGACCTCAGTCATTCGCGGAAGTGCATAAAAAAAAGTTGCACCGTCATCTCGCGAGGACGAATGGATTGCTCGAAACATGTTATTCCTGGACGACAATAAATATGCGAAGAAAATAAGCTATAGTCCATATATAAATACTCAAAGTTGAGAGATGTTTCCAAAGCTTACCTGTAAGACAGTTCTCATTTCTTCAGCCGTACTGCCCCTCGCCCCAAGGTAAGCCATGGACAAAGCAAGGTAAATGCTGGCGGGCGAGTAGATTGCGTTGGATTTTTGCAGTGCAAGCTCCTTGTATAGCCTGAGTGAGAACTCGGACATGGCCCTATCCAACTCGAGGCTTTCGCTTGTCGGGTCTCCATTGCTAAGCGATAGACACCCGGCGAGGGCAAGACTAACCAGCACTGACATACGAATCATCTTTAGAGTGTTGACCGGTGTCAGCCGTGACTATCCGCTTCAAAACAGATGGGCCCAACATGACCCCTCAGCCTAACAGGTAATTAATTACTTATTGACCAGAGTTTTGTACCAGCAAGAGGGGTTGTAAACTTAACACTAGTGACGGAGCCCTGTTTAAACTCGTTTGAAACTTCCGATACAATTTAGTTTAAATTTATACATTTTGTTTTAACATTGACAAAACGAGTAAGGTTGCGTGGAAACTATGTTGTTAATATAACGTATTCCATTTGGGGTCCAAATTTTTACAACACAAAAGGAAAAAAAAATGAGTTTACGGTGTAAAATACATAACTTATTACTATAGTCACTAGTCGTGTTTTCAAAAAAGTACCCAAAAAAAACTCAAAAAACTAGGGAATTACTTCAATCAAGTTAAAATGACATCTCACGTGGATTGTATTAATTATCATTTTTTTTTTAAGTACTTCAGTTGTTGTTTTGAGTTTTTTAAATTTTAAATATATTTTGATTTCTTTTTTGTGCATATCAGCTGAAGAAGACATCTCGCCGAAACGCCCATAAAAATTTAATTTTCTGTATTTTTTTCAAGCCATTTCATATCTTGTTCCACTATTTATTAAATGAACTGCAGTTTAGAAAGAAAAAAAAAGGGGTGGGGTGGAATTTGGTATAGGCTTTAAAAAATAGAATTCATGCTTATGTTGTCTGTTACATCAGAATTTTTAATTCTATTTGTTTTTATTATTTATTGAAGCAGCCCTGAACTTCATAAATGAAATTTTAAAAACTACTTTTGAATACACGAAAGCAATGGATACGTTTTGCTATGTATGCCCTTAACAAAGAATCACCAGCTTCCGTTATACTGCTGTTGTGCAAGTGGTATAAAAGAGATGTGTTTATCCTGAACAGTGTCTACTCAAGCCAACAATAAAACTTGGATTCTCGCAACAAAAATGAGATCCCGCTGATAGGTATTGCAGTTAACCTTGTGTCGTCTTAGACCGGCACAAATCATCCGCATATGCACGCTGACAGCCGCTTATCCTCGCTGACAGCTGCAAATCCTCGCTGACATACGCATATCCACGCTGACACCCGCATATCTACGCTGAAAGCTGCAAATCCACGCTGACAGCCGCATAGCCACACTGACAGCCGCATATGCACGCTGGCAGCCCAAATAGTGTAATCCGTTTGCCAAATGTATCTATGGAAATCCACATTTTTTGTTGGGGGGGGGGGGGGGGGGCCCCCCATTCTTTGTCCAAAGTATTCAAGGGAAACCACATTTTTTTTGGGGGGGGGGGGGGGGGAGGCACCCCATTCATTTAGTGAGAAAGTAGTGGAGCCTTTCAAAATTACTTTTCAATTTTTAAAAAATTAACTGTCACGACTGCGCTATTTTTTTTTTAATGCTCAAATCCTTTAAATTCCGTTGGGTGGTTTCATAAAATGCCTAAATCGAGCTCGGCATTCTATAGAATCACGATGCAATGAATTTGGGCAAAGTGTGTTGATCGCGTTTTTATCCTTTGCTAGCGTATTTCAAGCATTTGATAGCCGCTAACATTTAAACTGAAAGAGAAACATCAACTTTCGTTGAAAACATCATTTTCCCCTGATATGACCAAATAGGATCAAATACACGGGCTTCTGCAGACTTTCTGGTATGTCCTTAGTGGCAGTTTATTTGATTTTTATCAAGATTTGATTTTTGAAGTTTTTTTTTCATTTCAATTAAACCGTTCAAAATTATTTAAATAAAATGTATTTTTATATTATTTTGTGCCTAATGTTTTTTTAATCAAACAGTTATGATGGTGGTAGAGTGTAATATTTTCAGTAGTCATTACATTAATAGTATTTCATAAATTCGAACTTCAAATAACATCAACAAAGCAAAGTAATGAACAATGAATAAAGAGCAACCAGATTGATTTTATCTATCTATCTATCTATCTATCTATCTATCTATCTATCTATCTATCTATCTATCTATCTATCTATCTATCTATCTATCTATCTATCTATCTATCTATCTATCTATCTATCTATCTATCTAT